TTAAGTTTCGTCGGTACGAAGTTACGGAAAATCAATTAAAAAACGGAGACGTAACAGTATGTAATAGAAAGTGCAAAGAGTGGTTTTTGAGCAATATCTGAAATGACAAAAAAGTGCTGGTACGCATAAAAGGGGCAAAGAAAAAGTAGCGATACTCACTTAGATACACTTTTCTGGCTATGATGAGAATTGCTGGTTTTCAACTATTTGGAATACAGAAGTGCAGTATTAGGTATGGGCCCATTTAAAGCACTGTTTTTGAGTTAACAGTGAGTTATCTACGCTTTGCCAACCACGAGGAATATAACCCAGGATTTTAGCTTTGTAAATCCTTGAACTTACTGCTCACCCATCAGGGAACTCGAATTAGATTAAAGCGACTTTTAAGATAAAATTACTATGTCAGTTTCTATTTTTTTAGTTGATAACATATTTCAAGCGAAACAAAAGAGAAGGTTTGGTTACTGTTTCACCTTTTGCAATAAGGATTCAAGTGAATGCGAATTTTTAATGTGTGCATTAGTCAGGGAGATTTAAAAAGTCAAAATTTATGTCGCTTTGTTGAGCTAGCACATCTGAAATTATAATTGTCGATGTTGATTATGAACCTTCTTGATTGATCGTGAACAGTAACAAGACTTAGTTTCTCGCTAAACAATTCTATTTGCCTATCGTATATATGGTTCCAATAAACTCTCTGCTAATTTATTTGTTTTCGAATTTCTAAGAGTTTGTGCAATAAATAAATTTCGTGTAACTATAATGTCGTAGATGGCTCTGTATGATTAGAGGAGGTGGCTTAAGTCAGCCGTAACCTGAATTGGATGTAATTACCAGATTAAAAGATTTGGTAAGCTCATTCATGATTTTCTAATTTCAGTAAACTTTGTTGCGAATATTTAAAGAAGCCAGTTTTGTTAACTATTTTTAAGTGTTGCACAGGCACTGTCTCGTGACAGTCACACACAGAGAGTGATACTGAGTCGACTGATTTCGCTACAGACTGTGGCCAGTACTATTGGCAGTAGTACAATGTACATAATATATATATATCGTGGCATTGTCTTGGTTTAATAGAGGCTTGGGAGACAACCAGGGGCGCTCAGAAACTGTGGTTTCTCTTGATTTCAGTACAGAAGCTCCAATAGTAGGGCTGATAAGTGTATCAACCCTACCAGTAGAGCTAAGCGTACAGCACATTACTAGAAACTAAGAAAGTATAATTCGAGACTATTAGAAGTGGCTCTGCTAGCAGTTGTACTTGCATTGTTACAATATTTTGAATATATTAATGATAACTATTTTGTATTTATCTTCTCTATTTATGTCTCAGTTTAAATGTTAAAAAAATAGTTTAAAAGATATTGGCTGTACCAGTATGGTCAAATTGTATAAGAACTGGTATCTTTAGTTTCATGTTGTTAACCAATGGAAATTCTTGGATGTTGAGAACTGAATTTAGTAATGAACAAGTTGCTGTACTCTCATTATACTAGAATTTTAAAACTAATAAGAATGTGTGAAGAAACTCATTGATACTTTATCAAACATTCATAACATTAATTTTAAAATATTGCTGTATATATAATTTGTGAAGTTTTAGTAATTGTTACACTAATGATGAACCAGTTCTTA